TTGATGTCACAATGGAGACTACGAAAGAAAATTGAGGACGGAGAACGACTCACAAAGTGGATATGCCTACTCTCCCGCGAACTAACTCAAAAACTACGGCCAATATGGAGGAAATGGAATATTCGGGTGGCCATGAAGGAAAAAACAGCACTCTTCACAAGTTTTCCGACGCAACATGTGGGTATGGGCAAATTTGATTGTTCAGGAGTTTACTGCATACCACGCGGCGCATGCGAACAGAAAAATATTGGCGAAACAGAGACAAATTAGCATAGGAATCAAGGAACAGCAAAGGATATGCAGGAAAATGGATACCGAAGAATCAGAATCGGCGGAACACATCGCACAGACTGGAGACGAGATCAATTGGAAGGCAACAGAAAGAAGAGCTCCATACGGTGACAATACAAGGAAGCAGAAGAGTAGGGAGGCCATTGACATGCTTGGGGAGAAAAATCTAATGAACCGGAGATTGGAGGAGCGTAGAATTAGCGATAACTTTGCCTACTGCCTAAGCAAAATAGGGGAAAACAATAGAGCAAGATCAGCTAAAAGGAGACGTCTGGATCAAGGATATATCGCTAACCGGAGGAAAAGGGATCGCGATGAATAAGTGGGGTTCAGGGGTTTTCGGTAAGAAAACGAAGACGTTTTCAGTGAGTGATGTCCGTTTCGAATAAACCAGTACAACTTTGGGGGCCTGGCAGTCAGGTAGCTTGGAAGACTGATAAGCAAACCATCACGGAAATTCGGCGTTATGGCCGAAATGTACCATAAATCCACTTGAGATGCCGCATGCGACCAGAGATAGGCGTCCACAGTACGCTCAGATAACATGTGTTTAATCAAGGAGACGACCCGTGGAGGCAAGGTCTGAGTTCTGCAAGCATGGGAATCAGAGCTTAGGCGCTCCGCTCAGTGAAGCGGCAGTGTACGTGCTTATAGTGCCTTAAGAAATAGCGCCTGGAGTGAAATGTATACTGGGACTGGGAGCGAGTGAAATCGTTCAACCAAAAAGAGAAGTAACGGATCTACGAGACAATAAGGGGATCCGGATGGGGGGCCCGAGTTGGATCAGCCGATCGAAAGAGAGGGGGTCGGGGTGATGAGGCCACACTAGATTTGCCACAAAAGGTCACACATTTTTGACGAGTGGAATGTAAACAAGTTAGTTGTTATGTGCCGGGAGTGGGATTATAGGGTAAAGAGTAGATAGACAGAAAGAGGAGTGATAGTGTAACCGTTTTCTGCAGAACGTTTGTCACTTGTCTTTTTGACGAGTTCGTGTCTTGGTGCGGAGAATGGCAAAACTCACTGAAGATGCCGGCGAAACGTATGTGAATGTACCAAGTCCACGGTCTGATGCTGGGAATTATGATACCTACTATGGCAGAAGACTTCGGACAAGATGCGTCCAACTAAGCCGCCCTGACAGCAAGAACAATTTGAGCCACGAGGTTAACCAACCTCTTTAAATCTGAAGGATATTGCGACCATACCAGGGGCCTCACAATCTTGGTCTTCATATCTTCTATTATCCACTTTCATATGGCATGCAGTGTCGAGGGGGATGCAAAGCCATGCTGATAGGAGTTTGCCGCAGGGGTTAAAGAATAATGGCATCAATTCCGACCAATAAGTCCGGCCAAGTGGTAGAAGACGAGGAGTGAAGTTAACTACTCTTCGATAAACCTATTCAAACTGATGTGCATTTGGAGTTGATATGAAAAAAGCTGGGTTAATTATTGGGGCAGTTGACAGAATTAGCCGCCTCAAGTGGATTGAGGGTGATGATACAGCGCTAGGTAATAGAAACTGTAAAAGCCATGGGAGGGGAGACTTCACACAATTGCTAAATCGGTCAGAGCGATTAAATA